CCAATGTTCACAATATTCCGTCAGGATACACATGTCGGTTTGAAATGTCAAATCTGCCCCCCCCCCAAGTTAGTCAACGCAGTTAGAGCCTTCTGCTGGTCCGAAAGGCAAAGGGTAATATCGTTGACATTCTAAAAATTGCCGTAAAGTCCTCATTCAGGATCTCTCTGAAATCGCTGTTCGGGTTCCTCAGCATCATCTATGCCTTCCACTCTGGCACTGCTGCACCTTTGAGACTTGGACGAATCCTGAACAGCTGTCATACTTCTTGAAACACAGTTTGCCAGCTATACTTTTTAGCTATCTTGTCGATTTTTCTGACTGTTCTCTCCTATCAAAGTTTTCTACCCCCTATGGCTCTTCGTGACTGAGACAACAGCGGGCTGCGTTCGACGGTGAGGTAAGGCATGCGAGCATTTCTTCTTGGCTAGGTTCCTCTGCATTCTATAGGTTAGGGTGTTCTACATAGTTCATGGCTACTTTCTGCCTTACCTCAACTGTTCTTGCCGCAGAAATGCCACATTTTGGAACTGTTTCTTTCGTTCATTTGCTAGCAATGCAAACTGCACAATGACATTCCACTACGTGTTATTTCACTGATATTACAAAGTGCAATATTTCGACTAACTTATGCTAATCTTCTTCAGGCATTATGTTTCCAATACGTTCTTTTGTTTTGCAAACTTACTGGGAATTATGCGTACCTAAAAGCAGCTCTTTATCTTCTTTCGTTGACCGATTGGACATGATCATATTTTAATCTGCCAGCATCGAGATGTGCCGGCTTGACACAACCTGTTTTAGACAATGCTCGACTATGACTATATGTCGGATCCAATGCGGACTTTAAACTTCACGCTAGACTCAAATAATGAGGAGCGTAATTTGCGGCTGATGAGGATGACGTCTAGATACTACCATGAGGAGCATTCATGTGGCTTGATAAATTTACTTGTTAAAAAATATGGCCTTACTGACAACTGTATAATTTGCTGGGTAGAAGCTTACCGGATCCCTGTCGCTATGATTCACTGCACGATTCCGTGATCATCAGGTGTTGTCGATGATGAATCTTTCTTTAGGAAATGAAGTAAACAAGTCGTCATATTAAAATGCAAAACGCCGAGACGAGCGGAATCATAAATAAGATATTTTAAACTGGCTGTAGTTTTGTAAAACCGCTACATAGGATTATGCATGACAAGCAACAACAAAAGCTTTCGCATTACGTTCTCTTGAGACAGTCTGACGTCACGCTCCAACAACAAATGACGATCTTTTCGAAAATTTGTTCAACGTAAATAAATGCCCGTTTTATCATAGGAAACAAAATATATCTGCACCGTCAATATGTAGTGTAATGTGTCCTGATCATCAAGATGACGTCACATCCTTTCGGCATCGGAGCTTAATTGATCGACGGATACCATCATAGTCTGGCACAATGTGCAACGTACCATCGATAATCATGAAAATACGGAATCTGCATTTCTTAAGGTTGAGCGCCAATGCCTCGAATTTTTGTTTCCACGCTGTGTCGTCAGTTGCTAGAATGAATTTCGCGAAAGCAGTTAATTGCGTCGCCACTCAGCAAGAAGGTTCTGTTTGGCAGCGCTAATGGGAGCGACCAATTCCTTCTGGCTTCCGAAGACAACCTACTCCTTCTGGCTGATGTAAACCGGCTTAAGTGAACCAAGTGCACACTGACCAGCTAGTAAACGGCCATCTGTTTGATTTGTCATTGTAATTTTTTTACCATTTGCGGAAGTCAATGTTATTAAGCCTTCGTGACATCTGCTCATGTGAACGTGTCGCGTTTTGATATTACGATATCTTTGCCGTGTTATAGATATAATATTTCTGATCGACAGCAGATCCTCGTTTGATTTTCTCTATCAGGCCGTTTGCTGGTCCTATATCTTTCAACGTATCGGTTTGAGTTTCTACATTAACAAATGACGGACCAACAGCGTAACTTTATTGCCCCTGTGTATTAGCCGAACAGTGATAGACTTCTGTCAGCACTCCGGATATATCTGTGGAGATTACCGATGAAATGGTCGTTTTGGAAACAGTCATTTCAATAGAATCTCAACGTGCGTCGTCTGACAGCTATGAGATTCTATTCATTCAGAGTTCTTGTGTTGCAAGACCAATCGTTTCTAGTCCGGATATTAAATCCGGCGCCTCCAGTCAGATAGAGAAGAGTTTTGATAATGACTGACATTTGCTTTTCAGCCCCTGGCCTCTGATTGCCTGAATCAGAGTTACTACCGTTGGGAATGATGGCGCTGAGGTATTTCAACTTCTGCGATGACGCTGTCCCCATGACACACCATCGTCTTCACTTCCTTGCCTAATTTGTAACAGTCGTTGTCTTTGTTGGATTCAGTTGGAAAGTAAAGCTCCCTGTAGTCGTGCAGAGCGCCTCAGAGAAAGAACGAAATCTTTTCTGATGCACCGCCCAACAAGACATTACCATTTGCTTTGCCCAAATCAGTGACGACTTTACTGGATATCTTAAGCCTCGCCTCGCCTCCTTTACAGCATCAGACCGTCAGCTCATTGCCGTTCAGCCCTATTTCATGGAATGTGACCCACCACTCCTATGCTAGACCGATAAGTCTGTAGCACATAACCCTAAAAAACATCTTTTTTGACCCAGCATCAATTGAAACCTGCCCATCGATCTGTCACTTTGACAATAAGTGATACATGATATGAATGGCATTTCAACCGAAAAAAAACAATTGCAATTACAATTACAAACAATTGAATTACGAATTATTTCCAGAACTCGTTTTGACTCCATGTCTTCGTCTTCAGTGAATCTGATACTGCACTGGTTATAGATGCAAAACAGAGATCAATCTCAAAGTTGTTTGACCAGTTCGTTGTATGGCACAGACATATCTGCTCTAAAGATGGTTGAACTGCATGCAGCAGCGTTGGTTTCGATGCGTAATGGATGTCAAATGGCAGAACCACGTAGTGAGCGATTTCAGCGCGTTAGTCATCCTCAGGACGAATAATAAATTTTTACTTCCCTGAGGATGGCCACCGTAGTTTGGTTGAAACGACATCAGCTCGAATAAAATCTCTTCCATCTGTCTTTTCCTTGTATCTAGAACTACTGAAGAATCAGCTTAGTCGCATTAGTCATATTCGTTTCAGTGCGTTGCGTGAAGGAAGTGCACGTTGTGGGTTGAGTAATTCATGAGTGGGCGAAAGTTTTTCGACTCGGTTCGATAAATGATGCTCGTTTAGACAGCTTCCGACAATGTTGCCTGATCAACAGCCTCAGGATGTGATGGTACCACCGGGAAGCGAACAGGAAAGCGCTGATGACTTTTCTGAGAAAAGTATCAGAAAAACTCAGATGGTTTCTGAGTAACTGTATTTGTAACTTGATAAAGCGGCCCAAAAATGGAAATATATTCAATGCTTCAGAACTCCCTTGGAAGCCGCGCCGTAGATGCGTGGGAGAACAATAAAAATGTGGAAAGACCTCGTTGAGGCTGACTTGTTTGCGAAAAAGAATATGAACCTTGCCGCAGTGAGGGTTGTCTAATATCAGTCTGAAGTACCATGTCTAACGGTTAGGTATGATAAGTTTGAGTTACTCTGCTGTTTAAGCTCTGTTAACAAGTAATGTACAAAAATGGACAAAACCTAAACATTTTTGTGCGATGAAGAATCTGACTTGGGCAGTTTAGAATAAAAAGAAAATGCGGGACACGATTTGCAGTTCACACTGCTGAAGGTTAGAGCTCAAAAAGAATGCAATAGCAAAATATTCTTTCCGCTAGCTGTATCTTGGAACTGTTCTATGACTGACAATCGTTCGTAACTTCTTACTGTACATTTTTAATTTTAAAACCTTTTAATATTTTTGAAATAATATCCGTGATAATATCCGCAACGTTTCGCAAAGTCTATAGTTCATAAAGCAGAAAAATAATGAAACAACTGGAATATAAATCCGTGTTAAAAACGACGTCATTCTACGTGTCAGTGAAAGTAATTCCGTATGCCCGAACTTCAGACACGTTTAAAGTTAACATATGAACAGTGTAGTAGTCAGTCGCGTGTTGTAGCACAGCTACGCTTTTGCCTCTTCTACTTTCGGCATAGTAATGAACAGACACGAATGTATGACCATCTTGCCATCGTATTTTCTCCATATATTCAGGTATCTGAAAAGAGGAGCCGATGCAACGGCTACAAAAGTTTGCACTTGACTGACTGACCTTCTCTCCTCGAACGGCGTGTCGCGACAGAGCTTCGAGATGCCTCTTTCGAAGTACCAGTCTCCTCCACCGTTGATCTCTTCACATTTGATTTCGATTTTTTTGACGCCCGTTTCTTCCTTCAGTTGCTTCCAATAGTTGACGGCGCCTGAAGTAAAGTATGATAAATGTTCAGAAAGGCGGCTGTCGCTATTCGTTCACCTTCTTTGCCTTTCGCTGAATGGTGCTGCGGGTTGATGATCGTGCAGTTCGGACCGTAAACCTGGGCTGCAACATTCCAGTCCGCTTTCTGGTAACCTGTCATGAGCACCTGGTACTGTTTTCCGATAGCCTGCTTCGCCGCATCTGAGAATGTACAGTGTAGGTAGACATCGAGGAATGTCGAGGAGTGTAGGTTGACATCAAAGAACTTAACGGTCATGCAGCAAGCATGTCATATTATTACTCATTTTGTGCCGTCGTACACGTGCAATACGACTGACAGTGAATTTTCGAGTGCGCAGCGCCCCGGCAAAGTCTCACTTGTGTACGTTTCTTCTCCCAAGAAATTCTGATTTATGCAAATGTGAATTACCGGTGCTTAATGTTAAAAGTGCTTAAAGACGTTCAGTCTTGGCGATCGGACATACGATAATGACCCTATACCATTGAGTATTACAATATCCAACTTCACTTCTCAGCAATTTCCGTGAATAGCCGACAGCGGAAGCTGGTTTATTCCTTAAATAATCCCCAGAAACTGAAAACCATTAGAACTCACTTTTTCACAGTACAACTCTGGACGCAGCATGAAAGTAGTAGCATAGGTCAAGCAAACAAATTTTCAAGACAAATTTGGTTGCAGTTCGCATGATTGAGGCCAGTGATGTTTTATGGCAAGGAAATGATTATTCTAGCCGAAGTTCAGAAATGGCTTAACATTTGCTGTATATTCCTCCAAAGAAATTTTTTTAAAAATGAAACCGATATTCATGTACGAAAATGACTTTTATTCTGGCCAGACAATTGCCGCTCACAACAAGCCATTCTTATGGCACTAAGGAGTACATTGTTCAGTTCATCTGGGAGCGCAGAATGACGGAATTTGCACCGGACAAAGTGCATTTCGTTCCTTGACGAGGCAGTCAATAACCTCATCATAAAATTTTGAAGAGTTGGCTTCATCAGCTAGAAACAACGTGCAAGTGAGTCAAAGGAATACACGTGCATCGCCTATCAAAATGATGAGTGGTTGAAGTCGAAACAATCATCGGTCTTGTGCCTTCCATCTCGTATATAACTTTCAAGCAGTCGAACTGCAATACATAAAAATAAACCCGATCTTACTGGCTTACTAGCATACTGCTAGTAGACGAATTGTCAGACCCGTTTGTTTGTTCGATGTTATCATTCATGAATGGTTCACATTAGATTGCGATTGTAATCAGTTTAACTTATTTTTGTTTGTGGATCTGTGGGTTGCAGCCTGTGATAATAACCTAGGGTCAGCTATCCGATATACCAAGACTTATTACGACCAGTTAACTACGGCACCGAAGCAGCTCACCCCGAAATTTCGAAGCTGTTATGACTGCCTCAGCTGAATGTCAAATACTCCCAATTGCTTTCCCATTATCACTTTGTCACCTGATTGCATCTGTTCACAATAGCGTGAATACCCTACTCAAAAGAACTGAGTGATCGTAAAAAAATTCGTGCTGCACCTATAAAATAAACTCAACATCACTGATATGCACTACTGGCTTCAAGCCACTGCGCCGATGCAGCTCCACTAACGACATGTACAACGGTACCCTCTGATTGCTTCATCTCTTGAGTTCATGGACAGCAGCTGCCATTTCTTTCGGTTGGTTCATCGTTAAATGTTTCCTCCACGTGTTCAAATTTTCCTCCACATCCAAGTTCCCATCACGAACGCTGCCTCCACGTTTCTGCCACGTGAAGAACGGCGAAAACCAATACTGCATCGATGAGTTTGGGGACTCTAAACTCAGTTCTTCGACGCAATTCGGCGAGCAGCTGCATTCGCTCTGTCTTCGAGATGACATGCAGTCAATTTACTACGAACCGTTTGCACAGACGGAAGTTAAATGCTTCAAGGTGACGAATTGCCAGCACAGCGTCAAGCAGATCCTCGCTTCCTACCAGAGTATGGTATGGCGGCTAAGAAAGTATGGTGATTTGACGAGATGTGCTTGTGCTGCTCGATTAAGCTAGACGAAAAATAAGTGAGTAGCCTTTCCGTTAGTATCTTTAAGATTTGCATTACATCAACTACCGTTGGTTTACACTACCGCTACCATAGGAAACGACGTTACAAGTCAATACATCGCAAGTCGGAAACACAGGCAATAATACAGATGTTCCCACTTTTCCTTAAAGGCATTTGAACAAGGATACAATTCTATAGCTTTGTGGCAAACACCCACGAAGAGCTGTAAGAAGACAACGTCAATGCTAGAAGCTCCAGAAACACACCTTGCCTACCGAGATTTGTGGACGACACAACCACCTGCAGAAAACCAACTCGATCTACCCTGAAAAAAGCTCGTGAGAAACGAGCCGACACGTCGACACCGGTCAATCACCGTACTGACCAACTTATTTGTTCGCATTTTGCATACATAAATCGTCAATATATATTT